CTGATTTATTCCATTTCTTGAAATTTATTAGCTCAGCTAGTTCTTTTTATACCCTACATATAGTGAATTCAGGGGATTATGGTTTGCTAAGTAGCATACGGAGACGATGCAGTGAACATATTCTGTATATATTTTTAATCAGGATCTATTTGTTTCTTCGAAAAGATCTCAAGCTAATAGTCTGCCCGTACGTCCATCCGTTCCCCCATCGACTACACTTCTTAATGGACTCCATTTTGAATACACGCGGAGCCATTTAGTTTTAAAATGTGATTATCGATAATAATCGACTTCAATAACAATAATCTTACGTCCTTCCGTTCAGAGCTCAATATAAAGAAAATAAAGTTAACATTGCTGTAAGCTAAATGCTTTTAGCATGTAAGCTCGATGCTGTTAACATCGGTTAACATATTTTCTTAGCAGTCTACATAACATTTTATTGCCACAGTTTCTTCACCCTATGGTTTAATGCGAATAAAACTAGACCTAATTATTCTCAAGACTTCGAGTTAGCCGTGCCTTAAAACCAGTTCTGTGGAAAAACTTTAACTAGGCTAGACTGGTTTTTGAGGCACTGCAATTTATGTTTGGAGCAAATCAAGCACGTAAGAGCAGCCTTTCAATCAAGTCAGGGTCATTTGGCTGAGCAGCACTCAGGGCTTTCCGTTTGAAATCTTTAATTACATTTGAGCTTGAGCCTGGGCCTCAGCCTGGGCCTTTGATGCGATGCCAACTGGCGGGTCACGTTCGGCACTTGGCCCACATTTGACCCCAACACCCACACTGGGTCACGTTTAGCCAAATGAAAAGTGGAAAAAGTTTTTTAGCGCGTCCGCGAAATGAGCTTAAAAATTTAGTTGCAGTTGCCATTGCAGTTGCAGTTGCAGTTGCATTTGCAGTTTATGGCGAGTGCAACTTGTGGGTTTTTCGGTTTTGATTTCAATTTACGTTTTAGTTACGGGCCTGGCCGGACCGGACTCGGTTTGACCCGGCCTGGCCTGGTTTTGGTTACACTTACTTGCGCAGATGGCGTGTGCCTCTCACCAGTCCGGGCGTGCAGCAGTTGACCGTAATGGGGGTATCTGCGGGGAAATCAGCGCGTTATTAAAAATGAAAAACTCAGCGGCCCGCTCGAGCTAAGCATTTCGGTAATTTACCAAGCTGGGCTGGGCTCCGTGTGCAAAAAATAATTGAATTCCCCCGGATGGCTAGCACTTACCTTTCAGCTCGCGGGCCAGCCAACGCGTGGCCAGAAGGACGGCCAGCTTGGAGTGGGCGAAGGCGTCGCGCGCATGGAACTTCACCGACCAGGTGCCCACATTTAGTGGATCGTCAAAATCGATTTTAGCCGCTTGATGGGCGTGTGCCGATACAAAAATAATCCGGCCCTGCTCCGACAGTCGCAGATGCGGCAGCAGCAGCTGCGTCAGCAGAAACGGACCCAAATAGTTCACCTGGCAGTGCGGCTCGAAGCCATCCGGCGTGGTGGTGCGTGTGTCGCCAAATACCATGCCCGCATTGTTCACCAGCACATCGATGCGTTCGAACTCGGACATCAGCTGGCCGGCGAACTGATGCACACTGCGCAGCGAGCAGAGGTCCAGGTGGCGCGCCTCCACGAAGTAGCGTTCGGCGGGGCTGATGGTGTCCTCGCTGGAGGTGGGCGTGCGGCAGCCTAGCTCCCGTTTAATAATTGATGCGGCACGTTCGCCTTCCGCCAGATTGCGGCAGGCAAGGATAATGCGACCGCCACGTGCCGCCAGCGCTTTGGCTATCTCAAAGCCAATGCCACTGCTGCCACCGGTAACTACAACAATTTGCTCCTTGATTTGATTATCGTTCGGGCAGCGCTGGCCGCTCATTATGGTGCTGCAATGCGGGCAACATACAGTACAGATAGCTCTATATGTGTGTGAGTGTGTGTGCGTGTGTGTATAATTGGGAAACTTAACCGTAATGCTGTGTAACCAACATGTGGTCTAAAGCCTGCTCACTGAAGCATTTCACTATCTCCCTCTCCCTCGTTCTCTCTCTCTTTCCTTCTGGCTTATTGATAGTGCGTAAATAATATCGTACTTCCTATTAGCATATGCTAATTCACATTTGTTAAATTTAAAATTATATAAAGTGCAAGTTAAGCGGCAACAATTGTAGGATTTAAACTACTTTTTAACGCTATATTAAACAGCAATGCATATTATTAACATATATTAAACAAAGTATACTGTATTTGTCGTGCTTTGGAACTTTTGTTTGTTTTGATATATTCATATACTCATATATACTCATATATTTGTTATGTTATTAATTAACTTAAAGCAAGCATTTAAACTACGTTTTGATAACGGCTATAAATAGCAGAGCTTATGTTATGTTAGCTAGTGAAAGCCCTCCTCACAGTTGACTTAACAGTAGAGCTCCTCAATCTCGGCTTAGAGCTCTCATTTAACATTGCTATGTTATTTGCTGTTGGGCTGCTGCTAATGAATTAACAGGGAACTGTTAAAGACTGTTAAATGGAGCTGTTAAGGTAAGCTGGAATGATGTGTGTGGGATAAGGAATCCTTTCGCATGATAAATTAACAGATTACAAACTAATTAACTAATTTTTCTTGTCACACTCATAAGACACACATAAGTATTAGACTATAGTTAGTTTTGTGCTATCATATCGAAATAGATCCAATATTGGCTAAGCTTAAGTTGTTCATATTGTGTGTCTGCTTGGGTGGCATTAAGACCTTCCACTTCATTGGCTGACAGTTATTTGGCACTTTAGGTTAGTTTTACCTGGTCGACGGTATTTGCAGCGTTTCAGAATTCATTTGCCAACGCATTTACTTTTAGCCAACTTGCGCAAATCCACTTTACAAATATTTGCAGTAGCAGCTTTTGGCACTTGCCGCAGTTGTCAGTTGCCTGTTCGTACATATTGCGATGGCAGCAGCACATTGCTCACTGACGCGCCCCCATGCCCCCGCAATTGTCCTTGCCAGCGCATTCTCAACCAAACACCTGCACCTGGGCGTGGCATGGGGGTACAGGCCACAAAAACCGCGTGCACTCCTCAAAAGCGCAACGCGCAAAAATAATCTTTAGATATTACACATTATCCCGCTGCTTCACGGAGTTCGCTGAAGGCAAGCAGCAGGAGCACCAGGAGGTGGGGGTCTGAGCGGGGGCTTAGCTGCGACTTGCGACCCTCTTTATGAAATCCACTTAAAAAGTTTCGAGTGCAGCGAGTTTTTTCTGTTTTTTTTTTTTTTTTTTTTTTATTTATTTTTTTTTATTACTTTACTCTCTTCGCTGCGACAGTTATGTATGTATGTATATGCACGTGTCCGGCAACGCGTCGCGACGCGGCGAAAACTTTTTGCCGTGGGCCGTGTCTTATCGTTCGTGTTGGATATTGTGTATGTGTGAATGTGTGCCTGTCCCTGTGTGTGTGTGTGAGTGTGTGTGGCTGTGTTTGCTCCCTCAATAGCCGCCTCACTTACCGCACTGTTATCACAACGCCAACCAGCACGGCTGCAATTGTGGGCCACCAGGTGGAGAAGGGATCAGCCTTCTCAAATATGGTCAGCAGGCGTTCCATAGCGTTGTATGTATGTGTGTGTGTGCGTAGACGCTGTGTAATTTGAAGACTGTCTCTGCACGCTTATTATTGATCAACAAATGGATGTCTGCACTGCAACGGCTGTGAACTGCGACTGAACGGTAATCGTAATAAATATAAATTCTGATTGCGTGCACCCACAGCGGGAAGCAGCAGCAGAGCGCTCAGCCTGCGCTCTCGCATTCTCTTTCCATTCCCCTCCATCCCACTCTTACGCATTGCCATGGCACGGCATGAGATGCGGCTGACAATTGAATTTAAATGGCTGCTGTCCCGTTTCGGCATATTTTCAATTTACATAAATGCTTGTTGCGCGGCATTTAAATGAGCGCTAGACAGAGACGCCAGATGCTGGCGAGTGCGAGTGTAAGTGGTTGCCACTAATACTGGAGGGGGCTGCCAGTGTTGCTAAGCACCTGTCGCTCTGCTCTTAGGTTAGGTGTAAAATTACCCCAGCTCTGGTGTTGAAAAGAAAAAAACGCGTTCGCCATTTACACGCGTTTTTCCATATTTTATTTGGGTTTTAACTTCGCTTTGGTTTTTTTTTTTTTTTTTTTTTTTTGGTCTTTTTTTTTTTGTTTTGCGGTTTTACGCATATTACGTTTGCATATTCTTTCGCGTCCGCCAACTAAATTAATTTATTTAATTCATTGTGGGCAAGTGGGCGAGTGGGTGAGCTGGGGCGTTGCTCTTGACTGCGCTGGCCACCAATTTTAATTACATTTAACAGCTGTTTTGACTGCGACGATTACGGCTGCCTTCCTTGAGTGTTGCTTTATGCTGCTAAGCTGGCAGCTGCTGGCAATGGAGGCTAGCTAAGTGACTTTACGTTAGAGTATTTGCTGTGAGGTATGCAAATGAACTTTACTTGCTTTACTTTAAATAATGTTTATGCCTTAGATGTACTTACCACAGCTGAATAACTGTCATTTGCATTATCTATGTATATTTCTTGCCAATAGCAGTTAAATTAACTTAACATTTCAGTACCAAGTGAGCTGAAGGCGCAGCTAACTTAACACACATTTATGTCATGAATTTCTTATATTAACATTGATTCTCACAGCACAGTTTTCCCCATGTACCACCCTTTGTTACTCCAAATTGAATTAAATCTATACAAGTCCCTACATGTATATATTCATTTATATATACATATGTATGTGTGTATCTGTATGTATTTACTTACTGACCCCTATAATGACAGAGCATTCAATCAGCCGCTGTTGCAGTCTTTCGCATTTCATTTCCGGCTATTCAATTGAGCGTATGTTGTACGGCCAATGAGTCCCAGGCGCATACGAACCAGTTCCAGCTCCATCTCCCGCATATTGATGATTGCAGTGCAAAATGAAATTGAAAATAATTCGTTTGTATTTTATTGTTTGTATTTTTGTATTTCGTTTATTTAACGGCTTTTGTTTTGTTTTTGTTTCGTTTTACATTACTCGTATAGCTATAGCTGATGGCGCCTATTGCTTATGCGCTGTGTTTTCGTTTAGTTTTGCTTTCACTTTAACTTAGTCATTCGCTTTAGTTAGTTTGCTTTTGCTCAGACAGTTCGTAAATATTTAATGATAATTGCTAAATTGTTGTTTTCTTTTTTTTTTTCATTCGAATATACTGCATTAATGTGCATGTGTGTGTATGTGAGTGTGTCTGAGTGTGTATGTGTGAGTGTGAATATTTGTAAGACTTGCTTGGAACTTGTTTACATATGCGTTGCTTAGTGTTTCTTATTGTTAATGTGCTGCCTGTGTATAATGTTGTTTAAATTTTAGTTTAGTTGATATACGAGAAGTTCTTAAGTGATTTAATCTCTATTTCAAATGCTGAGTGTCTCTCTCTTCCTTCCACTACTATTTACAAACAGTTTCAAGCTTAACATAATTAGCTAAACGTTAACTAACAGAAAAACGTTAACTGCCGAATTTACATAAGAGTCTAATACTTATAGAGCTACCTAGGGCGTATTAAAGTAAATATTCCAGTTTGCTTCTCAAGTTGTTTGTGTAGCCAGCCCTTGTATAACTATTAATGTTTTCTTTATCTTCTTCAAGTATTTGTCAGCAAATTAAAATATTGCATTAAACACATTGCTAAAGATCCATTAATTGGTTTTAGTTCAAAGTTTCTTTTAAAATTAATATCACTAACAAGCCTTCTCTTAATTTTATCTTCCTTCCTTTTATATTTAATTCATAAACTTTATTTCTTTTTATATATTTGGAGGAGCTAAAGCTTAGGCATTTCGAAATCTTGACTACAGATTGAGCTCTATGAATTCTAGACTCAAAATATCTTAACTATCTCAGAGTTGTGCCTCAATTCATATCCTTTCAGTTGGCTTCAATTTAGTTGATCTTTGGAGTTGCTAAATTTAAAGTTAAACTTTTGTTTGGTCGTCCATTGTATATATATATATATATATTTGTTATATCATTTACCATAAGCATAGAATTTTTACTAATATCGATTGGATACATCCAATCGATTTACAATTTTATTTATTTATTTTTATTTTTATTTTTTTTTATGATTGCTACTTAGATTCTACGGGCTTTCCCTCGAAGGCAATGAATCCTAGACCCCCTTAAACTAAACTACACTCAACTAGGTATCAAATTAAGAAATTTGAGTATAATAAAAAAACGAGTTCTTAACTATTTACAATTGGTACAAATCGGAACCTACTTTTGAAAATTGTTCTGCAATATATATATTTTTGTTATTTTTTACTCCTTTTATGATATTTAATTTATTTATTTTCTTTGACTAGATGACTAGATGTTTTGGGTGTTTTGTGTCCTTCGACAACCGACAAAAGTTTGTTATTATAAATTGATGGATTATTACAATTTGTGATAAATATTTTATTCCCAATTTTGTTGCTGGTGCTGTTCTCGTTGCTGAAATCTAAAAATTTCACATGCAGAACTGTCTAGTTATTTATTTATACCACGTTGGCTGTGGATCAATAACACGTCAGCGCCGTCGAACCAATTAGTTATAGCTACGTTATGTGGGTCTCTCTCTGTGTTTGTTTGTATATAACTAGATACTATTCATATGTATTCGCACAATATATGCCATGGGTCATGGGTCATCTATGTACAAATTGTCGCATGCTCAGTTCCGCTGATTTATACTGCAGCTGGTTTTGGGGTTTTTTCGGGGTTTTATTTGGGCTTTGGCTGCATCACATTTAACTGGCCAATATGAGGGTAAAAATATAATCTGCAAATATATAGAAGGAGATAGAGATTAATGCATATATGTGGAAATATATATAGATGTAGCTATATAGATATGAAAATTCGATTAGCGGCTTTCCAATTGTGTGTGCACTTATAAATCATTCAACAGCACGAACGAGTGACTGTCAAACATTGCGCTGCAGATTGTCTGGTTGGATTTACTTTCATCTTCTCTTTTTCATTTTGATAAATAAACATTTTTTGTACATATTAAAACATTCATGGAAAAAGTTGGTAAATTGCATAGATTGCATAAATGCTTTATTTATATATGCAATTAGTGGTGGTTCTTGCTTATTGAATTAAATGCCAAATAAAAACCTCAATGTAAACAAGTATGAACAATGCTGCGGTAGGGTATAGCTGACTGAAAAATACTCGCTTAATATGAAGAAAAATAGGGGAAAAATGGTCAGAAATATTCTTTAAGAATATATTTTTATAAATATGAATATATTCATCAAATTCATTAAGTTCATTACGTTTTATAAAACTAATATACCCATTTTACTAGGAGAGTGGGTATCGTCAATAATGCAAATGCATTTACATAGGAAAATATGCAGTAGAAAACATGTAAATGCCTTCACTATAAACTTCAATAAATTTACACACAGCTACATACGCATATATATGTACATATATACACACACAAATATATCACAACAACAAATACTGTTAAGTCAGGACTTAAGTCGTCTCCTAACATAAAATTTGATTACATTATTAATTGGGCTGCTTGAGCTGGTAATTAGCTCATATAATCATAAGTTCAAAGAAATGCCTGTAGATATTTTATATTATTTTTTTGACTATTAACTTTATGTTGCAGCCTCTCTGACCAGAGCCCATATCTCTGCCTCCCTACTCCTTCCCTTTCTCTCCGTCCACTTCATTGCCGTTATGCCCTTTCATTATGTAGGCATAATGTGTGCCATACAGTTATTTCTTATTACCTTAACGAGTGGCCATTTATTCACATTGTGCCTGTATATAGGGCCCTATCCTTGCTGGTAATAACCATCAAAAAATCAATCGATTTTAATATACTACATGCTCCTCCATACATAAACTCTGATGTTTTGCTCTCGGCTCGGACAAATTGCTGTGCAGAGTTCATCATTTTGTAAGCTATCATCAGGATATGCATAACACAGAGAGCTCTATAGCAAAACTGCAGCCATTGTGTATTAAATATTTCTCTTGAATATTTAAAATCTACAAAAAATAAACAAGATAAATCAATTGACAGTTCCATCTATATGCAAAAATGTATTGGCTGATGAAATAGAGATATATGGAATGTATGTATGTATATATGGAAAATGGAAAGAGAAAAGGAAAAACTTTGAATGTTAATCAAAGTAGATACTAGACTACTATTTATAGTGCATTTTTACATTTTTTACAACACAATATGAGAGGAGTTGTAATCGAATATTTGGCATTTTTTAGCACAAGCATGCAAATCATAATTTCACTTTTAATACACTTTTTTTGGTATTTTTTAAGCGAGCTCGAAATGCATTTCGAAACAAGGACAAACTCGTGACAATGTGCGATGATTTTTACGATATTCTACTATATACAGAAAGCACATACAAATCTTAAATTTCAGCATATTTTTATACCCTGAACCCATTGAAAATGGGAAATCAGGGTATAATGGTTTTGTGAAAAGTATGTAACAGGCAGAAGGAATCATCGCAGACCCCATAAAGTATATATATTCTTGATCAGGACGACGAGCTGAGTCGATATAGCCCTGTCCGTCTGTCCGTATGAACAAAAGGATCTCAGAAGATATAAGAGCTAGAGAGCTGAAATTTGGCATGCATACTCGTGTATACCATAGGCAGTACGAGTTTGCTTTATTTTTTCGATAACTCATCCGATAACTTTTTTATCGAGAATAATCGAAAAATCGACTTGGTTTTTTCAGCCTAGTTTGAACACTTTTAGACCTGGAGACTTCAAATTTGCGTTGTATATAAAGTAATTGGATACATAGATTTTGTCATTTACAGATTTTGGATACCACGCCCCCTTCGCCCCCAATTCGGAAAAAACGCATTTCAAATACTAGAGACTTGTGCTTTGGAATGTACACACATATTCATCATATGATTACACTCTACAAATTTCATTAGGATCTTATGTCTACAAAAGAAATTATTAAACAAATAAATTGTCATAATATTGCCCACATTGCAGCGCAGCCCAAGCGCAGCCGCTACTTACTGCGCAGTTAGCAGAGCGCGTGCTTATAAGTGCATGTGTATGTATGTGTGCATAGAAGAAATGCAGAATGATTAGAATATCAGCTTGGAGGGTTCAGGGTATCTCCTAGTCGAGCAGTCTCGACTGGAGCCTTCTTACTTGTTTATATTTGCTTAAAACGAAGCATAAAGCCTTATCAAATATAGATTTAAGGCACAAATTACTTGAAACGCTGCTGCAGACTTTGCTTTAAGCATTTAAGTCTGTTTTTGTAAATATCAAAAAGTAGCCCAGTAACTCCCAAGATAAGGCCTTGTTTCATTGAGCGATGCCTTTGCTGCTCTGCTTCGTTCCAACGAAAATGTAATTTCGAAAAACAAATAAACTGCGAAATGTCCAGTTGAGCACAAATGCAGAAAGTTGTAGTTGTGGCGCAAAGTTTTGTAAATAAAACTTGATTTGAATTAAATGAAATTACAGTTAAATATTTGAGGTTCGCAGCAGCACTGCGAGCAACTGGCTCTAGAATATATACTCAACAGTTGCCAATGCGACTAGGGGGAGATGAATCTGTGCGAGTTAATGTTAAATACTGACAGCCAAACAAATGCGAACAACGGCGCATGGTATATACACAATTTCAGATAGAGTATGTGGGTGTGTGTGTGTGTGTGATGTCCATTTTGGCACGTGCTTACTCTGCATTGTTGCTGTTGTTGTTGCACAGTTGTTTTGCTTGTTTGGCGATTGTAGGAACCATGATTAACGCGACCGAGCAAGAGAGAGGGCAGAGCAAGGAGCGGCGAAATGGAGAAACACACATAGAGAGAGAGAGAGAGAGAGAGAAAGATTGGGTTAGGCTTGGGCTGGCTTAGGGTGGTTTGGGTTCGCCACGGCTGTTTGCCAAATCTCTCGACGCTGTCTCTCCAAATTTTAACTATGAATGTGCCCAACTGGTGGCAACAACAATAACAACGCCTGCGCTGCTGCTGCTGCTGCTGCTGCTGCTGATGTTGTCTATGTGTACACGTGTATGTGTGTGTGTGTGTGTGTATATGTGTGTCTGTTTGTTTACCGAAACCTTCTTAGTTTGGCTTAGTAGCCCCTCGCTGCCATTGTTTGTGTATTTGCATTTGTCCCTCAACTTTTGCGGGCCCCTCGTCGAGCGAGTGTGAAAATTTATGTATGTATGCATGTGCTCGCAGCTCCACTGTGTGTGTGTATGTGTGTGAGAGAGTGTGGATGTGCCTTTTGCCTGCCTTGGTTTATGTGCTGCTTTTGTTGTAGCTGTTGCTGTTGCTGTTGCTGTTGCTTTTGCTGTTTGGCTTTCTTTTTGGGACAGCCTCAAGTCAGTCGCAGTCGCAGCCCTTTGACCAGGTCCGGAATACAAAATAAAGGCATCGAATGCTGCCCACGAGCGCATTAAAATATGTAAATACATATATACATACACACACATACACACTTCTCTATATACATACAGTTGCTGCTGCTGCTGCTGCTGCTGCTGTTGGCATTTTAAATTTGACCGCATAAACAAAGACAGCAGCAGCGAGAGAAATGTCGAGGCAACTGTAAACCAGAGCCAGGCCGCAACAATGTTGGGTATGCATAAAAAATCTAGCGCCCAGTCTCACCTGCTGCCACCTGGCTGCGGCAATTGTGGCAGCCAGCGCATTTCATCGTCCGTGTCCTGGTCAAAAACAATTTAACTGTCTTGCTTTGCTGGGCACTTTTTCTTTTTCGCTTTTTTATGTATTTTTTTATTGTAGACTCTTTTCCGTTTTCCTTTTATTAGATTCACTCAAAATGTTAATTTAAATTTCTAAGCTCTATTGTATTGTGCTTGGGACACAGTTTTTGTTCTTTACGTTTTTCTCTGCTCTTTTCACACAGTCCTCAATTAGCATGTCAGCCAGTCAAGGGGGGGTGGGGAGTGCCGCAGGGCCGAGGGCTGGGCTAGCTTTTGAAAGCACATTAAAAATGATTTCCTAAGTAGATTGTAAAAATTGTTGGCAATTATATTTAATAGCACCGGCTTTATGCCATATACCAGTGAACCATAAACGGGCCGTAAAGCCACGCAAAAGGCGGCAAAGGGCGACGGCTTCTTGAGGTGTTCGCCCAGGTAATTTGTGAAAAAAAAACAAAGAAAAAGACGGCCAAAGTAAAATATGCTGCGAACAAGTCAATTTGACATACCCTTAGCAGGTGCGCCGAGTAGACCAAGTAGACTGCCGGATGTTTTGGAAAATTTATTTTCATTTTCAGTCGAATGAATTTTATTATACACATATGAATGTGTTTAAATATTGAAAATTTACATTATATTTATGCATGATTTCTTATCTTTTTATTGAGATTTATGTTAAATCCAGTTCATTGGGCAATAATTTAACAATAATGTAAATTAAAGATTTATCTAAAAGTTTTAATACAATCTACAGCACTCGAAGTATATTTATTTTTTCAGGAGCCGAAAGGATTATAAGATTTTGTTGTTGTTGTTATTGTGTCCAATTTTTAAACTTCTAGATCTAAAATTGTAGGAGCTTTTAGCTTTTGCGGTTAGCCACGCCCCCTGTGGCCATCTGCCATATCTTTCTGATCTTGCCTTGTCAACTGGAGCGTATATTCCATATTGCAACTGTCTACCACTTCAACTAACATACCGGAAAATGCATTTTTATATTTATAAATTGATAGATAACTGCATAATTCTTTGTATTTACTTTCCCCTTAAACACATAAATATACCTA